AGACAAAGGCTTACATCATTACTCTAAGTTGTATCAACTGGATTAATTTAGAAATACTTATGCTCATAATTTGTTGAGACATTTGAATTTTTATTATTATTATGTTTGCCAGAACTTTGAATACAATTTTCTATTTCAAGTTCAAATTATTTGAGATTTAATTTATTTTGGAAATTCAATTTATTCTTTTCTATTGAATTAAATAATTTTGAAATAAATTAAAGATTTCTGAATATCACTTTATGTTAATACTTTTAAATACATGGAATACAAAATAGGCAAATCATCACTAGCTTAAAGTCATGAACATCAAGATTGTTACAAGTGGTAATACCGACAACAAGGTCGAATCCGCCAAATCTACTCATCAATTGTTCCAACCGATCACCATTCAGTTCTTGCACATCTGTTTGAAAAAATATACTAAGACAATAAAAGTCAACCTTTGAAGCATTGATTCCAACAAAAAGAAACACATTGATATCACTGGGAAACATGTTTATACAGATCCTTGTATAGGTTTTTTAGGAAACTTAGAAGCATTTCCACCTCAGCAGGTTCAAGTGGAGTAACTTTATTCCTTCCAACCCATACTAGATTCCATTTTCAGCACTCATCAAGAACATACTTCTGGACACTCGAAGGTGGCTCATTGTCATAGGCTTCAAAAGTCTTACAGATCCTTTCTGTCAATTCGGCACTTCCTGAATATGTTTATAAACAATTCAACCTTTTATATGTGCTCAATAGCATCTTCTGAAAGTGTTCTTTGAGTTATCTGATCTGGTTAGAAGAACATAGCATCTTCTGGAAGTGTTCTTTGAGTTATCTGATCTGGTTAGAAGAACATAGCATCTTCTGGAAGTGTTCTTTGAGTTATCTGATCTGGTTAGAAGAACATAGCATCTTCTGAAAGTGTTCTTTGAGTTATCTGATCTGGTTAGAAGAACATAGCATCTTCTGAAAGTGTTCTTTGAGTTATCTGATCTGGTTAGAAGAACATAGCATCTTCTGGAAGGGTTCTTTGAGTTATCTGATCTGGTTAGACAGAACATAGCATCTTCTGGAAGTGTTCTTTGAGTTATCTGATCTGGTTAGAAGAACATAGCATCTTCTGGAAGTGTTCTTTGAGTTATCTGATCTGGTTAGAAGAACATAGCATCTTCTGAAAGTGTTCTTTGAGTTATCTGATCTGGTTAGAAGAACATAGCATCTTCTGAAAGTGTTCTTTGAGTTATCTGATCTGGTTAGAAGAACATAGCATCTTCTGGAAGGGTTCTTTGAGTTATCTGATCTGGTTAGACAGAACATAGCATCTTCTGGAAGTGTTCTTTGAGTTATCTGATCTGGTTAGAAGAACATAGCATCTTCTGGAAGTGTTCTTTGAGTTATCTGATCTGGTTAGAAGAACATAGCATCTTCTGGAAGTGTTCTTTGAGTTATCTGATCTGGTTAGAAGACATAGCATCTTCTGGAAGTGTTCTTTGAGTTATCTGATCTGGTTAGAAGACATAGCATCTTCTGGAAGTGTTCTTTGAGTTATCTGATCTGGTTAGAAGAACATAGCATCTTTTGGAAGTGTTCTTTGAGTTATCTGATCTGGTTAGAAGAACATAGCATCTTCTGGAAGTGTTCTTTGAGTTATCTGATCTGGTTAGAAGAATATAGCATCTTCTGGAAGTTTCTTTGAGTTATCTGATCTGGTTTAGAAGAACATAGTATCTTCTGGAAGTGTTCTTTGAGTTATCTGATCTGATTGGACAGAATCAAGCATTTAATTTGGAAGATGAATTTGCCAATAGCATCTTCTGAAAGTGTTCTTTGAGTTATTTGATCCGAAAAAGTGCATCAGCAGCCTTAATCATTTGATCCGATGAGCTGTTATCAGAATCAACATGTTGCCTGAATGCAAGCTTTTCAAGAGCCTATACAATTGAGTTTTATTATCAAGAAATTTTTGGTGACATTATATCTACCTCTACATTTGTCAAAAAGGATAGATTTTATGATTTGAAGAAGAAAGATTTATTGGGTTTCTACAATTGAAGAAATACTCAGTTCACCAATTTGAAATCAAATAACTTAACATTCATGCATCATATTTTAAGTGTTTACAAAAATAGGTGCATTTTCATTCATTTTATTCTTGTTGAATTTTTAACAGGAATTTCAAAGATTTTAGCAAAGATTCAAATTCATCATTTGATGGATCATCATTACCAGAGAAAGTTCATAATGAGAAGAACTCATCTGAAGAAGGAAGAAGAAGTTCATAATGAGAAGAACTTGTTCAACTTTTTGCTTGAATTCATCACTTGATGGATCAACATTTCCAGAGAAAGTTCATAATGAGAAGAACTCGTCATCTGAAGAAGGAAGAAGTTCATAATGAGAAGAACTTGTTCAACCTTTTGCTTGAATTCATCATTTGGTGGATCATCTTTTCCAGAGAAAGTTCATAATGAGAAGAACTCATCTGAAGAAGGAAGAAGAAGTTCATAATGAGAAGAACTTGTTCAACTTTTTGCTTGAATTCATCACTTGATGGATCAACATTTCCAGAGAAAGTTCATAATGAGAAGAACTCGTCATCTGAAGAAGGAAGAAGAAGTTCATAATGAGAAGAACTTGTTCAACCTTTTGCTTGAATTCATCACTTGATGGATCAACATTTCCAGAGAAGTTCATAATGAGAAGAACTCATCTGAAGAAGGAAGAAGTTCATAATGAGAAGAACTTGTTCAACTTTTTTTGTTTAAATTCATTCATTTGATGGATCAATTGGCCAAAGAAAGTTCATGAATGAGAAGAACTCATCTGAAGAAGGAAGAAGAAGTTCATAATGAGAAGAGCTTGTTCAACCTTGTTTGATATCATCTGAAAAAGAAGAGAAAGTTCATAATGAGAAGAACTCATCAAGAGTTTATTCAACTTTTGAATGACTCTATCACAGAAAGGAGGTCATCATCATCCCCAGCAAGAGTTCATAATAAGAAGAACTTATTGGAGAAAAAGAAAAATTATCAATATCTCCATCATGATCAAAGTAAAGTCAAATGGATAAAATTTTTATCTTTTATCTTGCCCTATTCTTGTTAACACAAGAATGAGCAAAGAGGGGCAGCTGAAGATACTAAATTTTATCATATTATTATATTATTATTCTTATTATTATTATTATTATTATTATTATTATTATTATTCTATATTATTATTATCATATTAATATTATTATTAATATTATTATTATTTTTTATTATTAATATATTAAATACAACCAGTTACAATTAAACCGGCTCAGTTACAAACCAACTGAAACCGGTCCAAATCCAACCGGAAACCCTAAATATTTGGGTTTCCAGTTAGGGTTCCCTAACCCTAATCCAGCCAGCCGCCAGCCGCCATCTTCAATCTCAACCGTTGGATCTGGTTTGATCCAACGGTCCATCATTTGCCAGAGGAAACCCTAGGGTATCTATACCCTAGGGACACGTCCACCGCCGCCGCTGCTGCTTCCAGAAGCCCTCACCGCCTCCGCCGCTGCCACGTCCCGAATGATGCTTCCAGAAGATCAACGTCAGCCGTCCATGCAAGGCTACGGGGTGAGTCACCACTGGTAGTCCGGTGACTCACCGAGGCCCCGCTCTTCGGACCGGTCCGAGACGAACACCGGTGGTGGCTATAAAAGCCACCACCCACCTGCGAAAGAAAAAGGACAAAAACAGAGACCGCAGGAGAGACAGAACAAAAAAAAAAACAGAGAAGGAAAAAAAAAGCTATACCAACGATCCCAGTCTACAACCACAGCAGTAAACCAAAGGAAAAGAGAAGAAGAAGACTTACCTTGAAGCCTTTGTGGCCCTCGGAAGCCAAACGTTGCCAAACCGCCGTTTTTAAGAAGGTTAGAACCCTTCGGTTTGTTTAGATTACTCCGATTAGGAGTCTTTTAGAGAAAACAAAGACCGGAATCGGTCTTAGGGTATTTAGATCTACAATTTGGGGGTGTTTTGGTGAATTCGACCACGTTACGGTGGCCGGCGGCGGAGGCCGGCGGCGGAGTACGGTGGCCTATGGCTGCCGGTTTCCCTCCGGTGAGGGAAACCTAGAGAGAGGCGAGAGAGAAATCTCTCTCAGTTTGAGAGAGAGAAGAAAGAAAGGAGAAATGAGATGTTGGCCCGAAGGGCCAGCCAACCTAGGGTATTTATACCCTCTCTTAAACGGCGTCGTTTAAGGGGACCTGTGCGTAATTTTTACTGCAATTTAGTCATTTATTTTATATGTTTTAATTTATTTATTGTTTTTAAATATATTGTTTTAATAGAATTATCTTTTATTATATTGTTAAATATTTTTTATATTCATAAATATATAATAAATATTAACTTTTAAAATATTTATTTTTAATATCATTAAAGGACAGTCTTAATACAACTGGATGTTTATTTTTATATTTTAAAATTAAACATATTTTAAAATTATTTTAAATTAATATTTATCAATATCAAAGAAAAAGAGCTGTCTTAAGGTACCTAGAAGTTCTTTTCGGATATTTTTAAATAAAAAATATTTTTTATATAATTTTGAAATAATAGAATTATAAATTAAATATATTTTTGAATTTTTAAATTTTTAATACTAGAGACAATTTATAATTAAAAAGTACCAATTTTGGGCGTTGTAGGGGTGCTAATCCTTCCCTAAACGTAACCGACCACGAACCCCTTTTTATTATTAAAAAGAACAAATTTTTGGTTATAAAACGCAGATCAGTTCATTTTTTTAATTGATGTTTTCTTAAAACTCTTTTAAAAAAATATTTTTAGGTATTCGACCTACCTGATCCAAAAGGTCGATGGCGACTCACAAATTATTTTCAAAATTATTTATTAACATTAATTTCCCCACCAAAATTTAATATTTCGTGCCCGGACGAAAACCGGTTACGACAGTAAGAAAATTAACAAGAGATAAGAAAAGATGCAATGCAAGTGGTCACAGACATGTAAGCCATGCCTAACCAGAACCAAACTGAGTAGCTGCAGCAGACTTGAACTGTTCAACAAATTGATCAAAAGAGCCAAAATCTTTCTCAATCAGATCAAAAAGTTCTCCAGATGGTTTTCCCCCACCACCTGGTTTCATTGATTCCCAGAAGAAGTCATGGTTCCAAGCCTGCAAATATGGATCATGAAATTTAAAAGGCCGATACGATATGCAAGCTCGGACTCATTGATGTGTATGACATAGCTGGGCAGCATTGTTAAAGGAGGGAAGTTTATCACCCTTGTTGTATGAAACAACCACAATGTCTTCCAAGGACAACCCTTCTAGCTCTGTTCCTGTGATTTGCTTGTTTAGGTTCTCCACATAGGTTTTATGGTGTTTTCCCCAATGATACTCCGGGGGTAGCTTGGCTCATATGGGGTTCCAAAGCATTCTTGAGATATTAACAGATAACAGAATTTTACATAGACGAATGCAGGATTTTATGTTATAGAAATGAACTTATTTAAAAATTTCAGGGGGAACGCCCCACAAACCCCTTCCATCCATGTCGATCTGTTTATATCTTTTCATCACTTCATAACCGAATATGACAAAGAACACAAACAAAAGTTGCAGATTTGTGTAAACAGAGTAACAAATCATGGCTCCAGCAACAAGCATAGCAACGGGGTCTCTTTTGCTTACCAATTATGCCCAATAATACTAGCAGCTAGTCTTAAAAGGTTCCATTTTGAGCATGCAAGAAAAAAGATCAATAATAACTTACATAAAACAAGACTTTTTACCAGCGGATATGGAGGCGGCTTCAGCTCAAACTTGGCTGTTATCAAATTTGAAGCACCCTTTCTCACAAAGCATCTCTGTAACAGAAAAATTGCGTCTTTGTAAAAAAGTCAAAGAACTCTTAACATGTTGAAACATTTCACCGAACAGCTTTAGTACACTACAGTCCGGTCTCCAATTTCCATATTTTCGAGTCAAAATTCGCAGAACAAAAGAACAGATGAGAGGGAATTCAGTAAGAAACAAAATAACTGGAGAAGCAAAATCTGTGGTTTTGTACTTGGCAAGCTACGAGTGAGTCCTCGAAGCTCTGGATTTAGAAGCACACCAACATAAATAAATATGAAGTTCCAAGTTAATGAACAGAGAAAAAAAAATACTAAAATGGTGATAGAAACAAGCTGTTAAACAATGGCGAAGTGAAAGTAACCTTGGGAAGGAAGTAATGCGAACGTTAGTGAAGTAGCCATGGAAACAGCTGCCATCATTGTTGGAGTGGACAACCGTAGGACATTTATAACGAGGTGGGAAGAACTGGGACTCATTTTTACGAACTAACGACATTTTTACGGCATGCTTCGACATTTTTACATTAAACACTAGGGTAAATTATATAAGATACCACTGAACTTCAGGTGTTTTATTATTTATATCACTGTATTTTTAATTGCTCCAATTATAACATTAAACTTTGATTTTGGCTTCAATTATATCACTAGGTGGTTAAATTTTAAACGTTCGATGACGTGGGCAGATCTTTCCCCGTCACTATGATGATATGGAGAAAAAAATGTCGTTTTGCGACGGTAATTGATAGCCAAATGACATTGTTTTAGATATTGAATTTTATGGATATATCGATTTGTCACCAACTTTAAAAATGTTAAGTTTTAGGCACTAAACTTTTTTTACTGTGCAGTCAATCACCATCCATCACCAATTGTCATTCGCGACAAGATTAATATCGAAATATTCCCATTTCACTCGTCCTTCTTCTCATTGAATTGGTTTTTCACGAACTCAAAATTGACGAAAATTCATTTCAAGTTTTCAAATATTTATTTTTATTAGTAATGTTAAAAATAAAAATAAGAGTAGAAATCATGTAAAAACTGATTCCTGCTTCAATGACTAACTTAAGTTATACTGCCTGCAATTGATTAACATGGCATGGATTATTCAAATCTTCGGAGGAGGAAGCAACCACTTGGTGGTTTGAATGTAGTCAAGCGACATGAATGGTTTGGCTTCGTTTTCGGTTAGCTTCTTGGTGAATGGCACCCGCTTCGTTACTTTTGCGATGTCCCCGGTGCACTTGTATTCTCCACAGTAAACAGTTCTGCAAAAACAATAACCATGATCTTAGTTAATCAAGAAGCTAAGATTAGTGTTTATTATCAACATTAACCATTAGTTTACTTGACTATTTCTGGTTGCATTTCACTAGACCAGCCGAAAGGATGCACAACGTTGGTCATTTCAGTGTACGCATAAACAACTATAGGACTGCTCTTCTATGCCCTCCCAAAAAATGAACCCTTTTCTGTTCCAATAATTTTTTCATACACAAAGGAGTTGTAGAAACTGTTAACTAATTTTACTTCAGTTGCATAGTTTGTTAAGTTTGTTAAAATTCTGTTATTAAGTTAGTTATAAGAGTTATTTGTATATAAATAGGACTTGTTTGATGTAATTGAAATATAGAGGGAATAAAGCATTATTCTACCCAAATATTTTTTACATGGTATCAGTTTAGTCCAGGACATTCTCGGGCCGTTTTCATTCTCTCCAATTGTTCCTTCAGCCTGTATATCCTCCACCTGCTTTGTTCATTGTTTTGGGAATTTTCTTGCACCAAAATGAATACCACTGAAACCACCCCTATCACTACCGTGCTCGACTTCAACCATCCCCTATTTTTGCATCCATCTGATACGTCGGGCATCATTCTTATCTCTCATCGGTTGGTTGGTATCGACAATTACAACATATGGAGTCGTTCTATGAGAATCACACTGCTGGCAAAAAACAAATTAGGTTTTATGGATGGCACCTACTGAAAAGAGGATTATGACGAGCTCTTGCATTCTCAATGGGAACGCTGTAACGCGTTCGTCCTTTCCTAGATTCTCAACACGGTGAGCAGTGATCTCTCGGCTGTAATCATCTTTGTTTCCAGCGCTGCTCACGTCTGGACCGATTTGAAGAAGCGGTTTGACAAGGTAGATGGATCGAGGATTTTCTTCTTGCATCGTGAAATTGCCACTTTAAGTCAAGGTGATTCAATTGTATCGACCTATTTTACGGGATTAAAATTGTTGTGGGATGAATATCATGCCCTAGTTCCTCTTTCGGCTTGTAATTGTCAAGCTTCTCAACAAAATTCCAAGCACCTTGCACAGCAGAAGCTGTTGCAATTCCTAATGGGTCTTAATGATACATACTCTGCTATTCGCAGTCAAGTCCTCTTTATGCAGCCCCTGCCGAGCGTGAATCAAGCATACTCTATGATCGTGCAAGAAGAGGCACAACGAGCTCAGTTGTCTGTTGCCTCGGGAGTCACTGCTATGTACTCCAATATGTCTGGAAATTCTGATCGAAGACAGTTTAACGGTGTCTGTGATTTCTGTAAAATTAAAGGCCACAAGCGTGATAATTGTTATCGCTTAATCGGATTTCCTCATGATTTCAAGTTCACAAAAAAGAAGAATCCGCAGGCTGCTCTTGCTACCAATCCCTCGTTGCCTGAGTCTGATCATGACTCACAATCTGGTGATTTCAGTGCAGTTAAGTCTGCTTCAGTCTTCACAACAGCTCAGTATCACCAAATCCTTGAACTTTTGAATAAGACTCCATCAGTTGATGCAACAGTTAACCTAACTGGTACTGCTTTCAAATGCTCACCTACTTCTGCTGTTTTTTTTCTTGGATACTTGATACAGGGGCTACCGACCATATGGTGTGTGACATCCATTGTTTACAATCTCTTAATTCATGTGAGCTTAATTTTGTCTATTTGTCTACTGGTAAAATAGTTCCTATTACACATACTGGTAGCTTTCGTTTTAACTCTACTGATGTTATTCCAAATGTATTGTGTGTTCTTGATTTCCATCATAATCTATTGTCTGTATAAAAAATCACCAAAGATCTCAATTGCAATATCATTTTTTACCCTCAATTTTGTATTTTGCAGGATCTCAATTGTCTATGTGTTTAATTCCAAGGACCGTGTTTCTGGTTTGTTATCTCCAAAATTTAGTTATGATTTGTATTCACCAGGATACAAAATTGATTCTGGTTGTATGTTTGTTTCTTCTCATAATAATGCAATGCTTTGGCATGTACATTTAGGGCATGCTACTCCTGTTAAAATGTATAAGACTCCTTTTTTGGGTTATTTTCCTTTGAATGATAACTCTGTTAAGCAATGTTCTATTTGTCCTCTTGCAAAACAGTCAAGACTACATTTTCCTATTAGCTCATCTAGGTACTTAAACCATTTGATCTAATTCATATTGACTTGTGGGGTCCCTATAGAATCTTAACACATAGTGATCATATATCCTTTTTGACTATTGCAGATGATCATACTAGACTATCTTGGGTTTACTTGTAGAGACTTAAGAGTGATGTACTTCTATTTCTTAAACAATTCTTTACTATTGTCAAAAATCATCATTCTACTTCAGTTAAGTATGTTCGTAGTGATAATGGTGGTGAGTTTTTTAGTGATAATTGTTCTGAACTTTTTTCATCTCTTGGTATTATTCACTAAAGCTCCTGTGTTCATACACCCCAACAAAATAGAGTTGCTGAACGCAAACACAAACATTTTTTAGAGGTAGCTCGTGCTCTTCGATTTCATTCTCATGTGCCTATCAAATTTTGGGGTGAGTGCGTTTTAATTGCCTGTTATATCATTAACAGGCTTCCTACTCATGTTCTTAACTGGAAAAGTCCTTTTGAAACTTTCTATCACAAACCACCTAATCTTTCTCATATGAACGTGTTTGGATGTCTTTGATATGCAACCAAAGTTAACTATAAGGACAAATTTTCCCCAAAGGCTTCTCCTTCTGTTTTTATGGGTTACTCATTAACTCAAAAGGGCTATATCATTTTTTTATCTTTATACAAAATATTTTTTTGTCAATCGTGATGTGGTCTTTCATGAAACTATATTTCTTTTATCCTTTCCATCAAACAAGCCTTCTCCTTTTTTCCCTGCTCAGCCTCTTATTGATGATTCTGATTTTCTTAATCTTGAAATTTTTGTACAATCTAATCCAATAAATTCTGTTTCACATACTCTATCCTCTTCTGCTTCTCTTGTATCACCTCAAGTTTCAACTAGTTCACCAATTTACTCTCCAAGTCTATTTTCTAGTTCACTTGCTCTACCTGAAAATCAGTGTCCACCTCAGAGAAGGTCTACTAGGGTTATCAAACCTCCTAATTGGCTACATAACTATATTCAATCCTACCAATCCTCATCTCTTCCAAGTAAGTATCCTATCTCCAATTTCATTTCTAATTCTCACTTACCTTTTAAAACTCAAAGTTTCTTATCTTCTACTTCTCATTTAAGTGAACCAAAAATGTATTATGAAGCCCTTACCAACCCTCTTTGGTTCCAAGCCATGAAGGAAGAGATTGAAGCTTTGGAGTCAAACAACACTTGGTCTATAGTTACCCTGCCTTCAGGGAAAGTTCCAATAGGCTGCAAGTGGGTTTACAGAATCAAGTACAAGGCTAATGAGGATGTTGAGCATTTCAAAGCTCGTCTTGTTGCTAAAGGGTTTAATTAAAGAGAAGGAGTTAACTTTGTGGATACATTCTCTCCAGTTGCTAAATTGGTCACTGTTCGAACTGTCCTTGATATTGCCTCAATCTTTTCTTGGCCTCTTTACTAAATGGATGTATACAATGCGTTCTTACAAGGTGACCTAGTTGAGGAAGTCTATATGACACTACCTGATGGTTTTTGCAGCCAGGGGGAGTCTAAGGATTGTAGGCTGTATAAATCACTTTATGGACTAAAACAAGCCTCTAGGCAATGGAATTTGAAGCTAACAGAGGCTTTACATACAGTTGGTTACATGCAGAGAAAGTATGATTATTCAATGTTCACAAAACAACAAGGTATTGATATAGTTATTTTGTTGGTGTATGTTGATGGTCTTTTAATCACTGGCAGTAGTGAAGTAATGATAGCAGAACTAAAACATATTTTGAATAAGAACTTCAAAATGAAGGATCTTGGAGAGTTGAAATACTTTCTAGGATTAGAGGTTCTAAGGTCAAAAGTTGGGATTGTGTTGAATCAAAGAAAGTATGCTTTAGAGCTGATTGAAGAAACTGGAGCATGGGGAGCTAAACCAGCTATGACTCCTCTAGAGCAAAACAAGAAACTTACTACAACAGAGTATGATGAAGCTGTTTGTAGTAATGAACAACTCTTGCAAGATAAATATGATTTTCAGAGACTTATAGGCA